CACACACACACACACACACACACACACACACACACACACACACACACACACACACACACACACACACACACACACACACGTCTTCATCTCCACTTTTTCCTCTCTCAGACTGTTACACAACCGTGCTCGCACCTCGCCCAGTGCGCTGCAGCACAGGCCGGCCCCTCACCTCACATAACCATAGCTACACAAATAACAAACACGCTCGCTGTTCTGCGTATTTACAACCGCACACTCCAATRTAAATAGTGCAAGTGCCGCTTTTACAAACACTTGTAAAAGCGAGGCAGCCAACGCCGGCTGCGTTTGGAGCTGTGCAGAGGAACAGTAGCAGGTTTTTTTTTTTTTCCTGACTGCTGCGTGTGCTCGCTTTTCAGGATGGGTGGCATCCCCGCCAGGACGCACAAAGACGAGAAGCTGCTCATCTTCCTGGGAATCATAGATATCCTGCAGTCGTACAGGTACTCGACCGAACGAGCTGAAATAAACTTGATGTGCYGCTTTTCTCAAAAGTATCAGGCTGTAAATACAAGCCGGTAATGACTCAGTGCGACAGAGTAACTGCGGCTGAAAGATGCCCACCCTTCAGCAAGACCTCTTAAGCTGAATTATCACCCTGCGCTGAGGGGAAAAGCTACAAGACAGTTTRTTACAATCCACCGCCCAACATGATTTAAACTATTTGAGAGGCTCATCAGTCTTCTCTGTGTACTTATTGATTTTTTTAAATTTATTTTTGTCCCAAAGAGCAAATACTGTATGTCTGGTAGCAGAGAGAAAACCCAGTGGATTAAATATTATACAAAAAAAATTTAAAGCATGACATCAACTTTTGTCAGGCAGGTTGATGATTCATATACTCACAGTGTTTGTGAGGAAGGATGGATTTTTGTGTGTTCATCTGGTAACTTGTCTCACTTGGAGTAGCACCTCATGGTACAACCTCATTTATGAAAAAGTTGGGACATTGTGTAAAATGTAAATCAAAAGAGAATGTACCAGTCTTTAATAGTTTTACATTTTATGGCAGCATTGCAGCCAAAAAAAAAAAAAAAAAACATAATTAAGACGTTGGAGCAACAAAAGTTTGTAAAAGCAGTCGGAGGAGCTTTTTGCAACTAATCGGGCAAAAGGTCAGAGGACTTCTTTGGGCTCATTTAAAATGGACTGAGGCAAAATGAAAGTGTTTTCCTGTCAGATGTRTCAACATTTGCATGTAAAAACCACAAATGCAACCTCTATACCAGAGRAGACCAAARTGGGGCCCGCGGGCCAAATTTGGCCCGCCAAGCCATTTGATTTGGTCCACCAATAGTTGCCAAAGTTACAATGTTGTAACCTGTTATTCTAAGTAGAAACACAGTGTTTCCATTGGTCAGATGACTATATAAAGGGCTGTAGTGAAGGTAGTTTTCATTCACTGTGCTGACTTTATCTTTGATTATAGGATTAAACATGAAACATGAAATGACAAGAAATATTTAGATCAGATTTAACCCCACACGTAGATTTGCACACTTTATAAGGCCACAAAAACTCATATTTTATCTATTTATGAAATTTCCCATGAGCCTTGGCTACTTGAGCGTATGGCAGACTTTCTCCAAGTGCACAGACTAAAACAAAAGAGGGCCATTGCATAGCTTAATCATTAAAAATAAAGGACTTTACTTAAAAAGTATTTGTATTTCATGTATTATATTACTGCATTTGACCCGCAGTCCTGGAAAGATTTTCATTTTGGCCCCCTCGAGGAAAATGTTTGGGCACTCCTGGTCTATACTAAAGAAGGGAGGGATCATTCAGCCTATTATCAGCCCACAGTTCAAAATCCTGCCTCTCTGATTGTATAAGGGTGCATCATTGTATATGTTTTGGCCGGTTATATGTCTGGAAAGGCATCATCAGTACCGAACAGTTTAAAAACATCATAGCTTCTCCGCCGTCAGCCAAGTTGGGTGCTACAGGTTGATGCTGTTAACAGTTAAATGAAAGGGTGAGTATGTGACCAGTTTCCTGCTCTGTCTCTGGACAGGTTCATTAAAAAGTTGGAACACTCCTGGAAAGCTCTGGTCTACGATGGCGTAAGTTGATACAGCCTAAAATCTGATGCTGCTGCTTTCATGAATGAGCCTTCTTATCTGCCTGCACCCTTTTTTAAGTTGACAGCCCCACCCCGCTTTTTGTCCTCAGGACTCCATCTCGGTCCACCGGCCCGCGTTTTACGCCACCCGCTTCCTGAAGTTCATGAGCACCCGGGTCTTCAGGAAAACTCAGCGTAAGTCCGGGTCACACGGGTGTGAGTTCATGAATCGGGGGGGACGACACAGGGAGAAGCTGGGAAGCAGGACAGGAAATCCTGGCCCCGATAAGGACACTGATGTGTGTCGGCGGGATGTTTTTTAATGAATGGAAGCTCCGCTGTTAGCTAAAACATTACCCGTCCTTTCATGTCTTATATTTTCTTTCTGCCGTAGTTAGCATTCATTACACGCAGGGACATTTTATCATCACTTGCTGCCATGAAAGGCAGATGATCATGTAATGTGTGTTTGTTTGTCTGTTAGCGAAATATCTCATGAACTGCTGGAGCAGTCCTGCTAGGTGTACATCAACAGCTGATTCATTTTTAGAGTTCACACAATCCAAGATAGCCGCCACAGCTAATCAGCCTTAGCAAATATAAAAGTGGCTATAACTCAGATAATCGTACAGCTATTGAACTAAAGTTTGGTGTGGTAGTAGCTGAGAGTCATTCACATCACATACTCTGATTTCTAATAGATCCTACGAGCAACGTGCATTCCTTCAAGATAAATGAGTGTAACATCAACAGGACTGAATAAAAAAAGAAAACCATGTTGATCATCTGTGTGTGTTTTTAAAGTCAGATTGTGGTGATTTATTTCAGCAACAGAGCTGATCACAAGCTGATCTGCTTTTTCATTTTTTATGATAAACATGTGAAACTGTTGTTTCAGTCTGTTCAAAATGTGACGTATGTGGCTGTAGTTAAAAAATGATAAGCTGGATCAGAACTTATACAACCCCCGGGGACCCCCGCTCTGTGGAAATTACCACGGCTGACGCACTGATTTGAGGATTCTGCCACGCTATGAACTCTCACCAAGTCCTGCCGGAGGGAGATGACAGGAACGGATTTCATTTCATGCTCTGCCTGGAGGGCCAGAACACAAGGCGGGGGGGCTTCGAGGACTCTCTTTGCATTTTATCAGTTTAATATCGTCTAATTTTGGAGTCTTCGAGTTCCATTCTGTGCAAACCCTTCATCCATCATTTTATGTCCCCCCCATTCCCCTCCATTTTCCATGACTTTTATGTTTTTTTATTTTTTTTGCTCCGCAGCGATTCGATTTTCCCCTTCAAAGAGGACCCGCACGTCTATCCCGGCTCTGAAGTCGTCCTCACAGGAGATCCTTTCATCGCAGGCAGATGAGAGGCACGAGGAGGACAGGAGGGACCGGCTGGGKGGGGCACGGAGCCTGGCCAGTCTGGACGGACAAGGTAAACAAAGATAAACAAGATAATAATATTCTGATTCTTTACTGCATCTAATGCCACAAACTGCTRGTTGATGCTGTCTGTTAGCAAAATATCTCATGAACCACTGGGTGTGTTTGAATGAAACCTGGAGAAAGTAATCACTGGGTGTACGTTTAGAAGTGTTTAACATTTAGAGCCAATCAAATTCAAAATGGCTGCCATAGACAACTAACATTACAACAGACAAAAATGCTCATAACTCAGTTAGTTTTACACATAATGAGTTAAAATTTGGTTTGATCGTAGCTGAGAGCCGTCCTCAACACAAACTATGATCAAAGTTATGTGCTAACATCAACAAGATCCTGCCATGCATGAGCTCACAYGTAACCTCAGTTACAAGGTTTGATCAAAAGAGCTCATTGCTCAACACAAGAAGATCTTAGTTTAACTCTCTGACATGAAGGATGGTGGGCGAAATGTATTCTGTCTGTAATGAATGGAGCTTGTTGAAACATTAATCTAAAACTGGGGTGTCAAACTCATTTTCACTGAGGGCCAAAATGACTATTAGGGTTGTCCCCAAAGGGCCAGTTGTAATTAACTTCAACGTTTTGTGTTTAGCTTAGACTAAAAACACAAAACGTCCCTTCCTTCACCTCGTTGCTACGACTGAGCACCRCTAACAAACAATATCTGAGCTCTACGTGGTTTTCCATTCATAGAAACCACGTTTTAACTTGTAAGTGAGAAATTCCAACTTCCCAGTACAACTGGGCTGCAGCAGAAGTTGCTGGTAAAAATGCAGCTAATTGGAGATTTTATACAACAAACTGCACCAGCTGCCGGCTACTGGCTACTTTTAAACTCATGGTGGAATGCCGTCATTTCACAGGTAAAATAATCACTGTGCATTGTGGGAGATGTAGTTTTCGGAYAGTGCTGGCTTTAAATCRGCATAYGCTYATGTTAAGATATTGTTACGTCTTTRAAGCTCTCACGGGACACAAAAAAATGCTTCGGAAGGCCACATTTGGCCCACAAGCCTTGTGTTAGACACACGTAATCTAAAAGAATCATGACCTTTTATCTACAATCGACCAATAATTATTTTCTAGTTCTTTTTTTTGTTTTTTTTTAGAACAACTTGAGGCCAATAAACAGGCTCATTTATTCAGCTATGAAAATGTTGTCCTGTCAGCACGGCCCCGGGACAAGCTGTCACCGACTCATGCAGCGTTTGGCCCTAATGGAAGGGAAACAGAGGCCAGCCTGTGAACGAAATCCCCTCAGATACAGTATTCTTGCCTGTACGTTTGCAGCTCTCATCTCTCGTAATTAATCTGCCCCGTGACCACGACCTGACCTCGACTCTCGAGGGGGGGAGGAGTCAGCAGGAGTCAAAGCTCGCTCTGTGATGAAGCTCTGGAGCTGCCGCCGACCTCTGCGTGAGGTCATCAGGAAGGAGTCTTGCACACCGGAAGCAACATGGGCGTAGAAGGGTGCGGGAAGAGAAATCATGGGGTCATGTGTCTGAGTTCCCCTTTTTTTAGTATTTTTTTTTTTACAACTGAAGCAGATCAGAATCTCCAGCAGTGATGCAAAGTATGGATGGTTATACTTCCTGATTTGTCCTTTAAGGATACTAATTGAGTCTAAAACAGCAACAAAAACTGTTTGTTTTAYTCTGAAGTTAGAGAAAAACGTCAGTTTTATTGAAATATGTAATCGTTCAAGTTAAAGCTCTTGTTCCTGATCCTGTCTGAGTCATTAAGTCTGGGAACCATGACTCAATAAAAGACAAACCTCCATTTTAATCAATACATTTACAGATCCAGTCTGCTGGAGATCCAGGCTTGTAAAAGCTTTTGTTAACGACCAAGAATTGCTAAMTTCTTGTTTCTGAGCTTCCTGTTCATCCATCTTTTGAAAAGCTTCTTGTTCTGTAAAGGTTCTTGGGTCATTCTGTCCGAACTGTTCTTTAGAAAAGGAGACCTGGGTGAAAGGTTGTGACAAAAACCTTCAGTTTGCTTTTCTCCTGGATCCTGTTGGAGAAATGTTCATGTTTCATCTCAAAGCTCAATCTATTTAAGCAGTTCCTCATATTAACGTATGTTTTTCTTCACTTTAATGTGACGCAGCTGCTTAGAGAAGCCATTACTGCTGGTTTTCTGCTCCACCTGACCTTTTTTTAACACTGGCTGTGAAAAAGAGAGTCAGGACTGCTAGAAATGTGAAATTTTATGTGCAACTCAGACTCAGTCTTTTTATATCTTTAACCTTCTGCAGCTCATTCACCAATCACCCAAATTATCTCTTTTTTTAGTGTGTCCAAAACAAGGACTGATTCTTAAAAAATGCAGTCGTGACATGGGGCTCAGGATACCAGTTATTCTAAGCAAAGGTTTCAGATCATAAATGGAAAAACTAACATTTTCTGTGAAAACGCTGAATGTTTTTGCTGAAGTTTGTTGAAGTACCTGAAGTTTAAATTTAAAGGCAAAACAAACAGATGGTAAACTAGGATGATCAGAGCGGTAAAAGGCTAAAACTAGAAGAACAGAAGTATAAAAAAAACTACTACTACTAAAAAATTAAAATGCACAAAACAGAAGATAAAAGCTAAAATCAACAAAATAGTAAGCAAAAGGTAGAATTAGCAAAACCAAAAGCTAAAACTTAAACTGGGCAAAAACAGTCAGTAGCTGAAAGCTAAACCTAGCAAAATAGTTGGTTAGAGTTAAAAAAAAAAAGCAAAACTGTAAATAAATGCTAAATTTAACAAACGCCATGTCTTATGTTAAGCTAAAATAAGAAATGGTAGTTAAAAAGCTAAAATTAACTAAACCAAAAGCTAAAAATTTAAATGGTTAAAGCATTCGCTAGCTAAAAGCTAATATCAGCAAACTTGTAGGCAAAAACTAAATTTAGCTAAACCAAAAGCTTTAAAATTCAAATAGTAAAAACAGTCAGTAGCTAAAACCARCAAAATAGTATGTTAATGCTAAAACAAGCAAAACTGTAAATAAATGCTAAAATTAGCTAAAAGCATTGCTAAAGATTAAAATGAGCACAACTGTAAGTTAGAGATATAATAAAAATGGTAAGAAGCTAAAATTAGCAAAACCAAAGCTAAAAAAACAAAAACAAAGCAGGAGCTGAAAGGTAAAACAAGCAAATCTGTAACTAAAAGTTAAAGTTACCTTATTTTCTCCCAGCTGCTTCTTTCTGCAGGATTTGCTACAGGGACACCTGTAACACTTGGTAATTGTTTTATAATGGATGTGCCTCCTGATGCAATCTGGGCTTAAACCCACAGCTGCAGGATTGTGACACTGACCGTCAAGCCACCGTCGTCTAAAAGCTAAAAGGAGCACAAGAAGATAAAATAAAACAAACGGGCTGAAGTAGATTTTAAAAGAAGAGATCTCAACATATATTTAGGAAGATTTTTCTAAATAAAAATATTTGAAATATAAAAAAGGTTACTAATCCTAAAAGTCGCAGCACAYTGGGCCTCATGCAAGAACCRTTCGTACGCACAGATTTGTTCTTAARTTGTGMGTACGAGTGATTTAGGAGAATTTGTGGCATTCACCAATGTTTTCGTATTCTAAGATTTTTTTCAGATACAAACAAAATTCAGGAGTGGTCCAGACCTGTCGTATATTTTACGAGCAGTCAGTCTGTTATCCAGACGGGTTTTCTTCACTAATAACTTTATATTTCATTAGTTTGAAGATATTTTGAGTTGAAAATAAATTACACTCCATAATTATGYTGACAATAGGCTATTCTGCTTGAATTAGAGTTATAATTTTAAATGTAATAATTTAGACTAACAATATAAATTGTCCGTCCGTTTTCTGGTGCTTATCCGGGATCGGGTCGTTGGGGCAGCAGCAGAAAGACCCCGCTCTCCCCAGCGACACCCTCCATGTCCTGGGGGACTCCGAGACGTTCCCAGGCCAGAGGGGATACATAATCCCTCCAGCGAGTCCTGGGTTTTCTCCAAAGTGCCAGACTTATTTTGAAAACATTTTAAAATGCTTATTTCAGAACCGCAACTGAGACCACTTCAGACCGCGGGGGGGTGTACGGTGCGCTGCGCTGCGGCTTCTGAATAAATGAAAATGATTTAACACARTTGTTTATACTTTTAGCAGCTCCTTTTATTCCACAGCTGACCTGCTAAAAATGACAGATTTTCTTTTCTGGATCTCTGACAGACGRACTTCAATCTCTGAACTCGTAAAGTTTTCTTTTTAGTTTTCGCTGTCATTTTTCATGAATGGACACTTCCTTGTATCTGAGGCAGGAAACAGCCTTATATGGTGTTTTTGGGGTGGTAATTATGCTAATCTCCTCTTGCGTGCACGAGCAGCTGGATAGAACAGGTGGAATTTACGCAGCTCATTTACACACGTTTCCTGAAGATAGAAGAGTTTGTTGAATCTGACGTGACATGTTCGTACGAACCCTTTGTACGAACAAAAGTAAGAGAAATTTAGGAKAAGAATAMGAACATGTTCTTGCATGAGGCCCATTATTCTTGATCAAGTTGAATGTTTTGATATATAAAAAGTCAAAGAAGCAGAAGTAGTTTGTKTTCCTGTTTGTGGTGTCTTTCATACATTTTGTTGCAATCAAGGATGTGAATGCTGACTAAGCATTAAGCTTGATTGACGTTTATTTTTYCCCCTTTATTTTCAGTCATGTTCAGTTCACATGTGCAGCCAGATCTAGTTCCCGCCAACCAGTCCTTCTACGAGGGCTCCTCCGTGGGAACCATCTCCACCTCTTCTATCTTTGTAAACGTGGACAACCAAACTGAAGAGAGGTACTTTTTGTTTTTCTTCTCGTCTCCTTCTAACAAGTCACTGAAAACCTGTGTCACCATAAAACTAYGATGCAAGTGAGAGCCAACGAGGAGGCCACGCCCACGTTGGTGTCATTCATGTTCTGATGTGACGCGCTTATCAGCTGTGTGCATCGTGGAGCAGATCTGTTTGGTTTGAATAAAAAACCCCAAGTATAAACACACACACACACACACGCACACACACACACACACACACACACACACGCACACACACACACACACACACACACGTGGACATAATATTATTTTTAATTGACACAGAAGAGGGAAACCCCCTAAAGTATTTATCATTCCGTAATAAAACACATTTGCTTTTGTTTAAAAAAATCTTAAACAAATCAAACAAAAATTTGATGTTCTCAGTTCTTTTTCTGAGGTCAGGCAAAGAATTATTGTTAAAGGTTTTATATTAACAGCTTTTATGGCAGCTTTGTTCCAAACTTCACCCTCTGGCAGGAGCAGGTTTCATTTCCCTTCTTAGAAGCCTCATTGTCTTCTTCCCTCGATGTGYTTGTTTGTTTTTTTCCAGCTTCTGTTGTCCAGTTTAATTTTATTGTCCGAGGCCTGACTGTGTGTGACCTGCCCGGTCTTGTCCCTCTCACCAGTCGCCTGCTGCTGCCCTGACATTGTTCCCTGGACTGCTTTTCTTTAATATTTAAACAGCAGATTTGACACAGTTTTCCTTGGTGCTGCCGCGCCGCACAAAGGCCTGAGACAAAAGTAGGACGAGTCRTGCATCAGAGGCTATTTATCAGCCCACGAACACTCCTCGTCCCGACGGCCGATCAGCCTGTTGCAGCTGTGCAAGATGTGGACGTTGTCCTCTCGTCATCAGCCTCTTTCTCTAAGAAAACATTTTACAACTTTCTACCAGGAAATCTTTTTGACTTTGACAGGATACAGCCCGGTTAATCATATGTCATAAAAAGGTCACAAAACATTCCTGAATTTATCAGGGAGTCACCTGATGTGCAAACAAGGAGAACAGCGCGTTTGTTGCCCTCTAGTGGTCAAAACAAGGAGGTTCAACTACACAAAAAACAGCTGAATATTGTGTTAGTTTTATGTTTAGCTTTATATAGCTCACTTGTACAGATAGGGAGCTAAAGTTCGGTGTGACAATAGTAAATGATTTATAATTTATAGTCTGAGTGCTAAACGAGACGGCAAGCTCAGTGTCAATTCCTACATGTCTGTTAGCAACATATTCTACGAATCTCTGCACAAAATTTATGGAAACATTCAAAAAAGTCATTAATGAATGCTTTTCTTCAAATGATTAAAGTTTGGAATCAGTCCAGTTCAAGATGGCTGCCTTTGCAAACTGTTTAAAGCAAGCACAAAGCTGGCTATAACACAGCCAGTTTTATAAACATAGGGATAAAATTTGATGTCATAATAACTGAACATTGTCCTCAATACATAGTTTGAAGGTGACTCATTGTGCGAGATTTTTCCTCAAAATCTAGTTCTAATTKAAGTAAAACCCTGCTTGCCTGTTAGCAAAACATCTCATAAACCACTCAACAGATTTTAATAAAACTTTTAGGATGTAATTATTGGCTGTACATCTACAACYCATTAACTTTTGGAGCCAACCTACTTCGAGATGGCCACCACAACTTATCACAGTTATCCAACACAAAAATAGCTCTAACTCAGTGATTTTAGCAGAAAATGAGCTTGGATATGTTGTGGCAGTAGCTGAAAGTCATCCACTACTCATAYTCCAAGCAGTAACAAATCATGGGATATATTGCAATATTGCATAAGATAATCTTGGCCTAAAAGGCTGGTGGTGGGCAGTATCTTTTAGTTTATTATTTCCTGTTCATTCATACTCACTGAACTCAGAAAGAACACTCGCAGGAGGTTCTCCCATCATACACACGTGGACAAAATTGTTGGTACYCCTCGTTTAATGAAAGAAAAACCTACAATGGTCACAGAAATAACTTGAATCTGACAAAAGCAATAAATAAAAAATTCTATGAGAATGAACAAATGAAAGTCACACATTGCTTTTCAACCATGCTTCAATAGAGTTAAAAAACATGCAACAGGTCTGAAYAGAATCCTTAACTTAATATTTTGTTGCACAACCTTTTGAGGCAATGACTGCAATCAAACGATTCCTGTAACYGTCAATGAGACTGCAGCTCCTCTCAGCAGGTATTTTGTCCACTCCTCATGATCAAACTGCTCCAGTTGTCTCAGGTTGGAGACAACCTTTTCCATACGGCATATTTCAGCTCTTTCCAAAGATGCTCAATAGGATTTAGATCAGGGCTCRTAGAAGGCCTCTTCAGAGCAGTTCAGTGTTTTCCTCTTAGCCATTCTTGGGTGTTTTTAGCTGTGTTTTGGGTCACGATCCTGTTGCAAAACTGAGACCAAGCTTTCTGACACTGGGCAGCACATTTCTCTCTAGAATCCTTGATAGTCTTGATTTCATTGTACCCTGCACAGATTCAGGAACCCCCTGTGCCAGATGCAGCAAAGCAGCCCCAGAACATAGAGCCTCCTCCGTGTTTCACAGCAGGGACAGTGCTCTTTTCTTTCATACGCTTCATTTGTCCCTCTGTGAACATACAGCTGATGTGTCTTACTTGTCCATAGGACATTCTCCCTGAAGCTTTGTGCTTTGTCAGCATGTTGTTTGGCAAATTCCAGTCTGGCTTTTTATGATTTGTTTTCAACAATGGTTTCCTCCTTGGTCGTCTCCAATTAAGTCCACTTCGGCTCAAACGACAGATGGTGGGATCTGACACTGATGTTCCTTGAGCTTGAAGTTCACCTTTAATCTTATTCGAAGTTTTTTCTGGGCTCTTTTGTTACCATTCGCATTAGTTGTCTGATTTGTCATCAGTTTCCCTCCTGCGGCTATATCCAGGGAGACTGGCTACAGTCTCATGGAGCTTAAACTTGTGAATAATATGTGCAGCTGTAGTCACAGGAACATCAAGCTGCTTGGAGATTGTCTTATAACCTTTACCTTTAACTTGCTTGTCTATAACATTCTTTCTAATCTACTGAGACAACTCTTTGCTTCACTTCCTCTGGTCCATGTTGAGTGTGGTACACATTATGTCACCAAACAGCACAGTGAGTATCTGTAGCCCTGTATACAGGCTCACTGACTGATTATAAGATTGTAGACACCTGTGATGCTAATTAGTGGACACACTTTGATTTAACACATCCCTTTGGTCACATTATTTTCAGGGGTACCATCATTTCTGTCCAGGCCTGTTTCATGAGCTTTATTTAAAAAAAAAGTGCTGCAGCATGGCTGAAAAGTTATTTCTGTGACCATTGTGGGTTTTTATTTTATTAAACGAGGGGTACCAACAGTTTWGTCCACGTGTGTCTATATKGTTTCGTCACAGTCTTTGCAGTTTTTTTTTTAAATTCTTGCGAGTCTGAAGGAAATTTCCTTCACTTCCTCCTGAGACTGTGAGTTTCTCGCTCCAGGCTTCAGGAGCCTGACTCCAGACAGGTCTCCCATGCGGCTCTCATTTCCTTTTTCCTCTCGGTTCATCCATCTGTTCGTTTACCTGCTGTTGACACAGACGCAGGAAAAAAAAGTTCACAAGTAAAATGTTTCGTTCCGTTTTCAGGGCCGACGTCGCATCCTGCTCCACGTTCACGCTGGAGGACAGTGCGATCTGCCTCACCTCGGAGCAGAGCACCATGGACGTGGACATGTACTGTGACGACGGATCTGTTCTTGATGTTTACTTGGTAATTCAAACTTCTTTTGATCCTCTTGTAAACATAGTACCCTTTTACTTAAATGCTACGAGTTTAGGAATAAATTGTCTCTTTGAGTTTTATAAATCATTACATTGTTTTTCTTTACATAACTCAGTATTCAGAGTTGTTGTATTTATTTTCTCATTTCTTTGTCTGCAGTGAAAAAAAAGACAGTTTTACATCGTTTTTCCCTCCTGCCACAYACGAGACAATCCCTGCTCTCCATCGGACGTGTCCTGCTCCATCCATGTTGCCACTTGTATTTGCCAACCACCTCCAGGAAATAAAAAATACTGTGGTTCTCGCTGGTTGGCTAAAAAAAAAAAAAAGGACGACCCTGCCAAACTAACGACAGGAACCAAGTGACATCATCTGTAACGTGCTGAACTTCAGCTGCTTTGTAGAGCGTGTATCAAAGCAGCATCATTTAGTTTTATACGGTTTGTTTCTTCCCGCAGCCCGGACATAAAGGTTGCTGTAAACTGTAAATATGGATTTTCCATAAAGAGAAGCTAGATACTCATCACTCTTTTTGTTCTGATGAACAGAGAGACATTTTAAATTCACAGCTTTATGAGCTGCTGATGAGAAATGTTTACAGCACATTTCACGGTGGCAAAACTTTGGTTCGTGAGGAAGAGGAGCGCCATCTCGGACGAAGAATAGACTCACTTGAACAGACTTCACGATGAAGGCCAAACTCAGCCAACATTTTCTAACGGAGTGGGTGGTTTTTTTTTGTGCTGCCTTAGAAAAAACAAAACAATGCTGTAAGTTAGAGAAGGTGGTTACTGGATCCTGGATGATGCAGAGCGGAGAGACAAAGCACTTTTAACACTACATTACTGTAATATATATATATATTTTTTTCTTTTAAGAATGTTTGCTTAGGTGGGTGGGCTACATGACAGAAGCACAGATTTGGATTTGTGAACATGCACTTTCTTTTTTCCCCTCCTTTTTAACTTTACAAACGCACACTTTTTGTAGACAATGAAGGAACACTGTAAATCATCTTTGATTAGTTTTGTGTCAAAACTGAAGATGCTTTTATTTTTTCCCTCTCAGGATATTCTTTGGAACTGAACAAACATATCCTCATTAAAAACAAACAGAAAAGTCAAGCGGCACGCATCGTACTGCTGTCCGATACTTCAAGATTATATCCAGCTCAACTCCACCATGACCGTTATTTATTATGTAATTCAACATTTTAAAATTTGCTGTAAAAAAATACTTAAATCACTGAATGTAAAGACAATGCTTATTTATATCATGTATAGAGGAGCTTCCTATAAATAAAGAGTCAGTGATGGATTTCTTGATTTTGCCTCCAGAACGTGACAGAAAATAAATACAAGGTCTAGATTCTTTTGAAAACGTTAAATCTTTTTGTAGATGTTTTGGTCAAATGTTGAAAATTTTATGCTTAATCTCATACAATACTGCAGGATGTCATGCTTAATGTGTTCTGAAYGACTCGTGAGATTTTAACTCGGTATCTGTAAAGGTCAGTGTTAAGTATATTTTTGTGTTGGCTAATGTGGTTCAGATGTGATCATTTTCAAATGGTTTTCTCCAACTGGCTATTTCACAACATTTTAGACAACTTGTAAAAATTTTGTTCAACACAGAGGACATCTGTGCTGAAGATGGAATAAAAGGATAAAATCTACTAGAACCAGAGATGATCTATAGGAGGCAAAAGGGGTCAACTGCCACCCTGCTGTAAAGCCTTGCCCCCCTAATTTTATGTCCCTAAAATACTTGTAATTACCTACAGATTTAGTTTTAGTCCTTCAAATTAATCATTAAATTACCAAAAGCTATTATAACTGATAGTTTAGGTGTTTATGTGAATGTTTTTGTTGACTCCTTTAAAACAAAAGATTTCTTTCATATAGATCCAGCAATGCCACCCTGCCTAGATCTGTTGCCCCCTCCAATGTAAAATTTTCTACATCCGTCGCTGACTGGAAGCTTCTTTTGAACATTCATTTACTGTAATGCCAACAAGTTAAGTGAGTAATTTATTCATAAAGTTTTCATCAAGTTGTCAAAACTGTTAAGTGCGTCAGGGCCTTTCATTTGGATCAGTCTCAGCTACTACCACACCAAAGTTTAGGTCAAGTGTCTGTAAAACTGAGTTATAGGCCTTTGTGTGGTTTTTAACCAGTCAGCTGTTGTGGCCATCTTGAATCATGGTGACTCCTAAAAATATAAGAATCGTTAATGATTACTTTCTGAAATTTTATTTAAATTTACCCAGTGGCTCAGGTATCTAACAGAAACGTGTGTATCTCTCTCTCTCACACACACACTTGTTTTTATATCCTTGTGGGGCCCGTCCATTGACTTCCATTCATTTTTTGGTAATTTTATATCCTAACCCTGACCACCAACCCTAACCCTAACCTCACAGGTACCTTCCTGACCCTAAAACCAACCTAAACTCAGTTCACACCTTGGTCCTAAACCCAACCCCCACACCCAAAATCAGCCTCTGAAGTTGTGGGGCCAGGCTTTGGGCCCCACAAGGAGCACCCGGTCCCCACGATGCTGCATTTTCCTTAAACATGGGCCCCACAATGTAGGAAAAACAAGCCCCCACCCACACACATGTGGTCTAGTACAGCTATCTTTATGAGGACATTGCATTGACTTCCAACAATTTCTATAGCCTAACCTCCTGACCCTAACCTAAACTMAATGCACACAGGTAAAAACATGGTTTGCCTTCACCTTTCAGAGGTGGACGGATGATAAAGTTGCTCAGCTGTGTTGTGTAATCATTTTAATTTACAGAACATTGTCAAACTGCATTACAATTAGTGCAAATAATAACACTTCAGATGTACAACTTAGAAATATACAAAGTGTGAAGATTGACAAAATATACTTAAAAACACAAACTGCACTCTTCAGCTGACACCCAGAACCTTTTAGAACCTCCCAGATTGACAATCAGGATTGATTTTTTTTAAAGTATTTTTTTTATTTTTGCGCACAAAGCGTGCAGATCTACTGATGGCAGAACTCCCAACATTTTGGTGGCTTTGAACACAATCTAAATAAAGTAGTGAGGTAATATGACGTGAAATGCTGACTCACCGCCCCCTCCAGCTTCATGTTAAGTGTTGAGAAATGCACACTTGGTGAATGTAAAACAGACAAAGAGTTTACAAAAGGTTCACCCTGGTGACTAAGGCATTCTGGGGGCAGTTTGTTTATCAGTCGAAGAGCAGGAAGCTGCTGCGCCATGGGGAGGGGAGTGAAATGCTTCAATCTGCACAACTCAAGTGTGCAAATGATAATTCTTCCCAATGCTGAATAACTTTACCTCGTCCTAGAAAGAGTAAAAAAAAAAAAAAGCAGATCCTATGTCCAAACCTGACACTCAGGTCTGGATCGATTTATTTTTCCTGCCTCACAGAAGGGCTGAAAACAATTTATGAAGTCAACTCAGCTCTCAACACAAGAGCAGAATCAGCTGGTCGATTGAACGCGTCTGAAACTTGCAGGTTAAAGACAGATATGTGCCGACCACAAAATAGCATCAATAGACCACGAATACATTTGTTATGTGTCAAAAATATGGTCTAACGTTCCTCAGCCCAGTGCTGCGATCAAGATTCAAGCATTTAACAGTCGATTCACATTTCTCACACTCGTAAACTAAAAACTTCTGTTTTGTTTTTATCTGTACAATACTTTGTGTCTATGGTGCTCTTTGAAACTTATACCAAACTAGAAATATACAGACTCTGAAGCTTTAGACTCAGACTCCTCTCCCCCCATCAAACTGCAGAGTTTTCACAAGAGGGACTGGAGAAGGCAAGAAAGGAGAGGTTCCTGCAAGCGTCTACTTTCCTCTCTTGCTTGTCTCTTTAGCAGCAAAACAAGTAGCTGTAATACTAGTGATTAAAGACCCACCCATCCCAGACTACTCAAAAAACAAAGGAAGAAAAAGAAAGAAAGAAAGAAGTCCAGAAATATGTAATTATAAGAAGAATACAAAACATTTTACAAAACAAGCAAATAATTGGTAACGTTTCAAAAACCTTTTTGGAAAACTGACTTAAGATGTGCTTTTATGACCAACATGAAAACGAGATAACTGAATGAAAACTGTACAAACAGTCTGATCAGGTCCTGATGACAAAGTCCTGCAGGCAGGTATCTGAAAGTCGACGCTGAATGACAGGTGAATGGATCATGTGGGTTTTTAAAGAGTCATTTTAAATGCTGAATAACGTCGTCCTTCCAACACAAAACGCCTGAAAAGGATGATAATAATGTAGAATTAAACAACATAAACTAAAACACAAAATGTACCACAGAGTGGGTAATATTTCAGTAGGTTTGTTGGGCTTTTGTTACCTGTGAGCGCTCAGAAAAGAATGGGCTTGCCGATGGTTTTGTCCTGAACGTAGGAGGTGAAGCGTTTAAGGAACTTGGGATATTCCCTCTTGGCCACAGCTCTGAGGACTGACGCTGGAGCCCAGCCTCCAGGGTTCACTGCAAACACAAAACAGTTCTCAAAAAAACTGTAATAGAATTAACCATAGTGCCTCACTGCAGGGAGCCCTCTAGTGGGAGGAGATGATCTTTTTTTTGTCCTTCTCAAGCTCCCAATGATCAAAACTAATTTCCCCTGACAATAAACGGGCTCCTCAGCAGTGCTGCTTGAAGAGAACCACGCAGGTCTGGACACTTCAAAGAGAACCACATTAATTAAATAAAACATAATATGTCTAATGATAACTATCATCAATAAGATTTAACATCTACCTACTTCAGGTTGAAGCTCAAATCTTTGTTGCTTTCTCCTCAGAAATCTAAAACAGTTTAGTCGGCATTTAACTGACATTACATTGTGTGTTTTCCTTTTGTATACAAGCAGATGCTGCCTGGAGCAGAAACCCTGAGATCAAAACCAGATGGGCTGGAGGGGCACACACTCACCGTTGGCAACATATGTGATCTTACACAGGATGTTGTCTCTGCTTATCTCTTTGTCGCCCTCCGGTGGGCTGACCAGCGTTTGGCAGATCATGGCAACATTGATTTTGGCACGAACACACTTGTTTGTGGGCTGAGAAGGGAAAACAAAACTATGTAAACACAAACGTTCCCAGAGGTACAAAGGAACCTCTTAGGAGCTGAACTTACAAAATGTGTGCAGTTAGTAGGTCTGAATCTATTATTTATACGGGTTTGTAGAATAATATAAAAGAAGAAAAAAAGAAAAGAAAAACCCTCCATGAAATAAATGTGTTTTTACACTTCTTGGATATTTCATGCATCACTAAAATAAACATTATGAATGRATTAGAGAATTTCAATGTTCTGGGAAAATGTAGTGTGAATGCTTGATGTTGGAACATTTTTTGATGAATCGCTAAAGCAGAAACTAGCCTGCATTTTCAAAAAGTAGCTGAAACAGCTGAAATTAGCCCAAAGAAACAGAAAGCAGCAAGATACTGAAATATAACATAAAGGTGACATTAGCTGGAAAAAGGTTAAAAACAGCTAAAAAGTAGGTAAGAAAACAGAAAACAGAACTGAAATTAGCAGAAACAAACAAAGAGCTCATGTTTGCTGAATTAAGCASTAAGACGCTGAAATTATCACAAAAAGGTGAAATTAGCTAGAAAGTAGCTAGGAACACAGAAAACGGCTGAAATTAGCAGAAGGCAGCAGAAAAATCTTAAAATAATAGCAGGAAGAAGCACAAAATGATTGAAATTAGCAGAACAGCAAAAAAAGGTCTGAATGATAGCTAAAAAAGCAAAAAAGGCTAAAATAAGCAAATTAGATGAAGATGAAATTAGTATAAAAGGTGTTAAAAAGCAGAACCAGGTCTAAAACATACAAAGTACAGTGAAGATTTATGAACATTTGAAGTGTTTACAACTTTTAAGGATGTTGAGGACAGCTCCAATATTTTCAATGAGAAAAAATGGCTGAAACAGTTAAATATCTCAAAAAGTGTAAATTGATTAGGTACCAAAAGTCATAGCTGGAATATCCTGAAGGAGCTCAACATTTTAATATATAAAACTGTTGAAATGGCACAAAAATTGAGAAACAAAACTTGTGCCAAAAACTTAAAGAAAAATGGATCTCACAGTGTGAATGTTTTATAATCATTCAGACAATAAACTGAATGAATTGAGCAGTGCTGAGGCAGCAACACCTACTGTACGACTTAATGTGGCTTACAGTCATTGTTTAAGTTTACATTGTACTACTTCAGTCACACAGATAAAAGCTCCTGCTTGTATTAATTAGTGAACCGTTATTACACCATAATTGCACTCTGCTCTGTCAGCTATATTTGTTAAGTTACAGAGGAAGTGGCAAAATATCTCAATGTTCTCTCTGCTGACGCTGCATGCTGAGATTTGAACCCACTGTTTTGACTACTAACTTGTCAATAAGCCAAACAGATGTGACTTTATAACAAAATTGCTGACTGTTGAGCTGTGAAGTACAAATCAAACCCTGCACACAACCACAATCTGCTGATGAAGCCTGGATATTTGTGCAGAGACTCAGACAGCACAGAAACGGGAGACAAGGATTTAAACTTGTTGCTACATTTTTACAGCCCTCACACCTACCTGCTGTCATTAGTTTGTATTTAAAACACAGGCTGCAGAAAACAACGCAAGAAACAGGAAATACAAACCAAACCTCACCTTGACAGAGCTTCTTCTAATCAAACATGCTGCTCTGATAATTTTGTAAAACTGGTTCAACATAAAATGTTTTCTCCAAGACTGAAAGTAAAACTGATCAGTGAGAGGTAGCTCTGTGTCTCTGGTGCATCTCTTACAAGAGCGTTGTCATGTTCAACAGAGAAATTGCAGACCAGCCAGGTGTCAGGGTCATTTTCGTTTGTTGCCACAATCTTCCTGATGGCTGACAGGTAAAGGACGTCTCTCTGAGAGGCAGGCCACACGCGCTGAAACACAAACCAGAGGCTCTCGCTGAACAAGGCCGCAMCATATTTACAGATCAAAAGTGCAACACATCTCTGCAAACCCAGGAAAAAGACCTGAGCCTACCTTGTGTGTCTGGTAAACAATGATGGCATTTTCAGACAGCTTTTCCACAACGTTGAAGTTTTCGATGGTGGCTGAGGGAGGGAGAGTTCAGTTCAGTCGGGTCGCGACATTGAAACAAAAAGGTAAACAGTGTAGATGTGACGCCGTCTTCGTGTTGCAAGCTTACTTTCCCAGTCCATTCGAAAATCGGTGTCCCAGAAGTAGTGGCAGACTTCATGTCCCGTTACTCCTTTCACAGCGTGAGTAGCTTTAAGAGGATCCAGAACGATCCCGTTCTCCTCCACTTCCCTCCTGTAAACCTGGTACACAGAGAGCAGAACGAATAAGTAAAAAACCTTAAGTAACTTCTTTCCTTCTACAAGTGTATTTATCACTAGTCACTCATGGGAAATGATTCATAGCAAAACATCTCCTCTGTCTCACCTTCATCTCTCCTTCTTCTATCACCAGCTGCCAGTTGGCATCACCACCCACGTCCTGAAGAGAATAAGTCATATGATTCTGCACCATCTCCTCCACCTGAGAAGACAGACAGATCCTGAGTCAGTTCCAGTTAAACAGTATTTTACTTTACCTRCCTGTTTGAGGGCATGCTTTGAACCAGGGGACTGTTCAGTGTGGGAGAAAAAAACAAAAACAAACAGTCTTTAGGGATCAGGCCAGCAGTCTTGAGCAATCCACATATCATGCACCTGTGTTTGCACTTTATTGCAAAGGTCTGAAAAGCTCACAAAAAGCAAACAGTCAAGTTAATTGTCTCGCAGAATGTTAGAAATGTACTGAGCAAACAGAACAGTAGCTACRGAGCAGTAACCAGGGGTAGACATAACCATTGTTTAAGGTTATCCAAGACAACCTATTTTCATTTCGGACAACCAGATCCTGTTTCCTGGTTGTCCGGTGGACAACCAAGAAAAAAAGACCTTGATTAACAAGTTGTTAAATTTACATTTTTCTTGAGATTCCTTTGGACAACCAAAATGTTTTGTGGACAACCAGGTTTTGACAACAGGTTGTCTGCTGGACAACCTGAAAAATTTCCTTATGTCTACCCCTGAGTAACTAAACTAACATTAACTTTCTGATCATGCTTGAGGGTATTACTCAATGTCTAAAAAGGATTTAGAATATTAACTTTGAGTTTGAAGATGCCAGTCCATGCTGTGAACAAAGAAAATGAAAAACGATGGGAGGAAAAGGTGGATATTAAAAAGGTTTTTGAGATTTCACTCATGCAGCATTAGTAAAAACCTGCTCACTCCAGCACATTTTTTGTTATTTAGAATCTAAATAACAAAAAATGTGGATGGATGTACATCTAAATTTTAGATGCTTACATCCATCCTGGAGTGATTAATTAAAGGGATCCACGATTAGTTGTAACATTAGATTTTATTTGATAAACATACAGTTTATTTTAACTGTAAAATAAAGACTGTAGAAATACTGCAGGCTGTTTAGTTTTGTAAATTTTTGAAAATATATTTTAACACAGATGGAGCCATTTTATTTACACACAAAGCATTCTGGGTAAATGATGACGTGGATAGGTCGTCGGTGTGAGTGAGCTATATCCACCCTGAAGGTTAATCTTGGACAATATCTGACGATTGTCTCTTTTAAATGAAACCAGAGAGCGTTGACAGAGAGGAGAAGGTAGAAATGACTCAGCCTGTAACTGAAAATATAGATGGAGGACCTCAGTTTAGCTTGTTTGTTTGTTGCACTAGCGCCGAGCTAATACATATAGGGCAATATAACGTCTGTGCTAGCACAAAGGCTAACAGGCTAAGCTGAGGTTCTTCTTCCATGAAGCAGCTCTGTTGTCCTCCATCCATATTTTCAGTTGTAGACTGAATCATTTCTACCTTCTCCTCTCTGTCAACGCTCTCTGGTTTCATTTAAAAGAGACAATCGTCAGATATTGTCCAAGATTAACCTTCAGGGTGGATATAGCTCAATATCAAAGCTAAACAACGAAACATTAGAATGTGACTTTTTTTTTTTGGTGGTAACTTTTTTTTTTGATCAGACAGTGTAGAACCTGAATCACTGGAGCACTGTCCCTGTGATACTCACACACTGCTCAAGTCTTGAGATTAGGATATCATGGTCTATGGCAGGGG